GTAGCAAGAATATGGCTACTGCTGTCTATTATCTACAAAGTGGCTTTAAGAAGAATTAAGAGATAAATTTATTTTGGTGAAAAACAATTTTGAAAGCCATTAGTTTCTTCATAGTTTTCATGTTTTCACAAACTTTTTGAGTGCATTTCTATATTCCTTTTTCAGTCTCATGTAATTCTCTATCCTATTTGACCAGGTGCCTCCAGAACTTATGAGTCCTCAGTGATTCCCATAATGAGTATTCATACAACTAACACTCTTTCAGTTAAGTGGTTCAGTACTGCCCATGTTGATCTTGGCTTCTAACCAAGAGCTCCAGCTGTCTCATAGGAAGTCTCCAGTATACTGCTGACCTTTTTGGTCCCTGATATTTGGGCTGAAGACTTCTCTCTAGTCCTACTTCCTTACCCCCCGATTTTTCCTATCAAACATTACCCTAAGAAAGGAAATTTTAAACTCATAATATGGTTTAAATAAGCTATGTATATAAAGAGTTATATCTCTTAACCAGATTGCTTCAGGTAATAAAATTATTCTTTATGGGTAAAACGTGAGGACTCAAAAAGCATCCTGGGAAAGTTTTGGGGGAGTGAGAGTGCGGTGAGTCCAGGGATCTGTCTGGCACCTTGGTAAATAGTAGCAGTCTCTGACTTTGCCTCCTTATAAGATTAGTTCTGGTGAGGTATAACTCCCCTTCTCCAAACCATCTCTCTCTCTCCACCTTTATAGTGAAGATCAGGGAAACCTCCACTAAGAAGCTTTTCTTGATTAGTCTCACCATGCTTCAGTCAGCCTCTTTAAATTCTGGCTCTCTGTTATCAGGCTAAGACCTCTGAGGGCCCAGGAGCTCCCACTTTTGCAGACCCTACCCTACTTTATATCACTCAAAATGCATGGTTATCTCATATTAGCTCTCTATTTTTTTGATAAAAGTAATTTGAAGGCATGTTAATACTTTTACATTCAAAGTTATTTGGCTGTGTTTAATTCATTTTAGATTGACTATAGTTTCTTGGTAATCATGATATTCTCAGAAATCATTGTGATGAGAAAATGTATCTTTCATTTTTCATGTAGTGAAATTTTTATGAATATTAAACTTCCCAGGTAATGAAGAAGACAATGGGATAGTTTGTGGAATTTTAATTAACACATTTATTTTCTATTTGGCACTAAAAACTTTTTTTCCAATCTCAAATTTTTTGTTTTGAGTTCATAGAAAGCTTAACACTTTCAGTTTAGTGATTCTATGTATTGTCAGTGTTCAGGTCGCTGGAATTGCAATTGGAAAGACAGTCTCCTTCTTCAAATAGTTCAAGAAGGATGATGTTTGAATAAATAATACCAAAGTGACGTGATAAGATGCACTAATCAAAATACCATTAGGTATACACAGAAAACTGTGAGTAACTCTGCCAAGCCAAGTTCTGAGATGTGTTTTGAAAATTTATTGATTTATTTATTTGAAAGAGAGAGCAAGCAAGCAAGAGCAAGCTTCCACCTAATGGTTCATACCCCAAACAGCCACAAGAGACAGAGCTGGATCAGGCTGAAGCCAGAAGCCAGGAGCCAGAAACTACATCCTGGTGTCCCACATAGGTGGCAGGGGCCCAGAGCATCTGGGACTTGACCTGGTACTCCAATATGTGATGGCAGCACGGCAAGTGGAAGCTTACCCCCTGCACCACAATGCTGTCCCAAAGAAGCGATTTTTTGAAATAAAGATGACTGACCTGGTTCATTCCTGGACTGAAGGGTCATAATCCTTCAGGGAGGACTGTCTCATTGGTCCTTTCCACATTCTATTTCTTTTTTTTTTAAACTTTTATTTAATGAATATAAATTAACAAAGTACAGTTTATGGATTACAATGGCTCCCCCCCCCATAAGGTCCCTCCCACCAGCAACCCTCCCCTTTCCCACTCCCTCTCCTCTTCCATTTACATCAAGATTCATTTTCATTTCTCTTTATATACAGAAGATCAGTTTAGCATACATTAAGTAAAGATTTCAACAGTTTGTTCCCACACAGAAACATAAAGTGAAAAATACTGTTTGAGTACTAGTTATAGCATTACATCTCAATGTACAGCACACTAAGGACAGAAATCCTACATGAGGAGTAAGTGCACAGTGACTCCTGTTGTTGATTTAACAAATTGACACTCTTGTTTATGGCATCAGTAATCACCCTAGGCTCTTGTCATGAGCTGCCAAGGCTATGGAAGCCCCCTGGGTTCACTGACTCTGATAATTTTTAGACAAGGCCATGGTCAAAGTGGAAGTTCTTTCCTCCCTTCAGAGAAAGGTACCTCCTTCTTTGATGACCCGTTCTTTCCACTGGGATCTCACTCCCGGAGATCTTTCATTTAGTTTTTTTTTTTTTTCCACAGAGTGTCTTGGCTTTCCATGCCTGAAATACTCTCATGGGCTTTTCAGCCGGATCCGCATGCCTTAAGGGCTGATTCTGAGGCCAGAGTGCTGTTTAGGACATCTGCCATTCTATGGGTCTGCTGTGTATCTCACTTCCCATGTTGGATCATTCTCTCACTTTTTGATTCTATCAGCTAGTATTTGCAGACACTATTCTTGTTTATGTGATCCCTTTGGTTCTTAGTCCTATCATTATGATCAATTGTGAACAGAAATTGATCACTGGGACTAGGGAGATGGCATTGGTACATGCCACCTTGATGGCATTGAATTGGAATCCCCTGGTATGTTTCTAACTCTACCATTTGAGGTAAGTCAGCTTGAGCATGTCCCGAATTTCACATCTCTTCCCTCTCTTATTCCCACTCTTATATTTAACAGTGATCACTTTTCAGTTAAGTTTCAGCACTTAAGAAGAATTGTGTATTGATTACAGTATTCAACCAAAAGTATTAAGTAGAACGAACAAAAAAAATACTAAGAGGGATAACGTATCAAGTTGCTCATCAACATTCAGGGTGAGGGCTGATCAAGTCACCATTTTTCATAGTGTTCATTTCACTTTAACAGGTTTCCTTTTTGGTGCTCAGTTAGTTGTCACCTATCAAGGAGAACACAACTCCACATTCTATTTCATAAGTAGCATCATCACCAGTTTTGCTGAGAGAAATGACATCTGCCAGAATCGATCTCAAAATTGTTTTAACCTGTTAGACTTCCCAGTGTTTCCAGGTGCATCCTCTTCGACTGTAGAGATAGAATGTGAACTGTAAGACAATTTAGTTGCATACGATCATCACAGACAGCCTTTGAGGCAGAGTTATCATCATCCCACTTTATAAGCGAGGGGGAAAAATTCAAAGGCAAAAGTCATTTGTCTAATGGCAAATGGTGGTAAAATGGCAGAACTGGAATTCAATCTCCCATCTGACTCCACAGCTCTAACTTAACCTTACTGCTCCATGGATGGAGACACTGAGCATCACCTTCCAAAACACATTCCTGGGCTGCTGTTCTCTAGGTAATTTTGTGTGTTCATTTTCTCATCCATTTCCTTTGCAATGATGAATTGTGAAAGGACTTTAAAAATGAAAAAAAAGTATCCCACCTTCTCTAAATCTAGGAAGAGGTAAAAAGATAGGAAAGGAAAAATATTGAGCACAAAGTCATTCTCCAAATACTCCCAACTTTTCCCTTAGTTCATTTTATAAAGTGATAAGCATTTCCATCTTCACTCTGTTTTTGCCTACCTTAGCAAGAAATATTTTTGCTTGATACATAATTTTTGATAAGGGAAGATCCGTCAGAATAAAAAAGAACTATAGTATTCCATAGACTAGAATGAATTTTAGGATGGTATTTAAACAGAACAATGGAAGTTTTCATATTGTAATTACAATTTTTAATGATCCAATTTTAAATTTTGTTAGAAGTTGAGAGTAGAACCCACATAAACATTAAGTGAGTGAAGGATACTAATAGTAGAAATTCCTCAGTGCCCACTAAGATTAGTTTTTGCTGGAAGTCAGGATAATATTCTGTTAGAAGAATTCTGACTTTGGTATTGTGTAAGCTGTTTTCTTAATACATATCTACCGTCTGCCTAGGTGATATTCATGAAATAAGGCATAGATAATGCATTTAGTAACACTGAGCTGAATCATGCAAAACATAATTTGTGTGCAATTTTGGGGAGTATAAAATAAAAGTTGCTTTAAATGTCAAGAAAAAATTCATAAAAATAACGCATTCTAATCAGAGAAAAAATTTCAAAAGCTTGTGTCATAAAGGAAAACAATTTACTTGTACTGGCACCCTTAATAAGTGCCCCAAAGCGTTCCAGTGCTGTTACATTCTCTAATGATATTACAGTATGTGGCACATCTCATCTAATCTGTTAGTAAAATCCTAAAGTCACTTATGTCAGTCTCTAATGCAAGCCAAATGAGTCTTTCCAGTAATAAGAAGCTTCGCAGAATTAGTTTTCGTTTTGCAGAAAATTGCCATTGGGGCTGGCACTTTTATCTAAAAATTTCACTCGTGCATAAGCAAAAAACTCATATATTATTTGGTTACATTCCATCAGTATGAGAAATAACATTGTGAGAATTCTATGCATGCTAATGATATATAGAAATCCACCTGCTTTCAGATAAAATGAGTTTAATTTTCTGTTGCCCACTGCCTGGTTGGCCTTTCATAAATTACTTATGCACAGCTATTATTAAAATAGAGGGAAAGCAAATTAGAAAGTCCTCCTATCTCTCCACTGGATTTAGCCAAGGCAGGGCTGTGACAGCCGGAGTCAGCGTTTTTGAAAAAATTCTGCTCTCTTGAAAAATTTTGCATCTCTATACAATTCTATACCACTGTTGTAAACGTTCTGACCTGCCTTCTTACCAAATTAACCTAAATCCTTTCTATTTTTCAACATTAATGGAATCCTCTAGAGTCCTGCTGATATATATTAAAATATATTTATTGGTTAATTTGAATTCCAGCATTTTTGTACCTCGTTTCCAGCACTCCTGTTATATCTGAACAGGCTTGAGCTTTAGCATTAAAAACTTACAAATTAAGATACATACAGAACATCTTAGAATTATCAGATCTAAACAACTTAACTTTATTGGAGTATAGAATGGCAAATTTAACTTTCTGATAAAATGGAAAATGAAGGCTCTCTTGTACAAGAGTTAATTGGATTTCAAAGGGTGTTTTCTAGTTGATGGGGGCAGTGGTCTTTATTGGTCAATGAATACTTGACCTCTTAGCTTAAGGACAGGTGAAAAGCTTTTATTTTCAGAGGGTTTTGAAGTCCAAAGTTCCCAATCACCTAAGATGAATTCTTGTTAAGTATTTTCTTTTGCTTAGTTATGATTACAATTTTCCTAGGATGTATCAGGTGATGAGGTCTTGAAAGGCTGAGCAAAAAAATCATTGATGAGGCACTGCTCCTTCAATGGTGTGGTGTTAAAACATTGTTGCAAATCAACTTCAACTGTAGATTCTATTGAAAAAGATAAAGAAAGCTTTGAAACCATGTTATCAAATTTCAATGTAAACATGACTTTTTAAGACAATTTCCAGGGGAATCATACTACTCAAATGGCAATTTAACCCAATCCTGGGAAAAAGTGTGCTCAACAGTTTTTGTTAAGATCCTTCTTCATATTGTTCTGACATAACGTTTGTCCATAAATAAAGGGAGTGTTTAAAAGAGCATCTTGATAGTACAAGGTACTGATACAAATAAAATTACAAAGGAGTTCCTGTAGTGAATGTGTGAAGTGAGAATAATGGTGTCTAGGGTAAGTATAGAGGGATGGGAAAAGGAGACACACCTCTTTTTCTCCTCTCTGAATCCTACTTTGAATTTTCTTCCTTTTTGGGAGGAATCTTTCAAACAAAGGTAACAAACCTTCAGTACTTTAAAACTGGCACTCAAAAACGATATCAAGCAACACAACTCAGAAGACTAGAAATTATTCTGAAAATGATGCTGCTGTAAGATCATTTTCTGATCTGTCCACAGCCATTTTCAGTGTCATCTTTTCTCCTAGAGTACTTGATAAAAAATACTACTTATGTATTCAATATTATTATTTCTGATGTTTTCAGCATGTAATTACATAGTCTTAAGATGGATGCTTTCAAAAGAAATATCTTCTAAAATTTGCAAGTTGAAATTTATTAGATACAGAACTTTTTCAAAAAGCCTTAAAAAGATACAACACAGAATTTGAGGTCAGCTGACTACTAAGACCATGATATGTTAATCCTTTGTTTATAAAATACTTAACTAACTGAAGCCTCTTAGATGTCTTGTTTTGACGTTGGTAAGGGTGATGTGAACAGGAAATTGAATGGAAGCCAATAATCAAAGTGTCGTTATTCCCTAGGAGTCTGTATAAACTCTAGCACCTGCATGAAAGTGAGACATCCAATCCTTTATCAAGTTTAATGCCTCAGCTCGGTTGGCATGGTAGAGGCACAACTTCCTGCCAGTTCTAAGAGTTTGGGAATTGCAACAAGCCTAAATATAAATTAAAAGTAGAAAAGAAATCAAATTATCAGGGGGTTGGTGCCATGGCGTACTAGGTTAATCCTCCACTTGCAGCACTGGCATCCCATATGGGCACCAGTTCTAGTCCCAGTTGCTCCTCTTCCAGTCCAGCTCTCTGCTGTGGCCCGGGAGGGCAGTGAGGATGGCCCAAGTGTTTGGGCTCCTGCACCCGCATGGGAGACCAGGAAGAAGCACCTGGCTCCTGGCTTTGGATAGGTGTAGCTCCGGTTGTTGCGGCCATTTGGGGAGTGAACCAACGGAAGGAAGACCTTTCTCTGTCTCTACCTCTCACTGTCTGTAACTCTACTTGTAAAATAAATAAATAAAAAGAAATCAAATTATCAGGATAATTAATGCAAAAATACAGACTAAGATTTTGCAAATGGGCTATTCTTTAAAAACTTAAGGCTGATTTTCCAGACTGATTCTTTTAATTAGTTCACTACTTCATTGGTCTGTCTTGCCTGAGAAGCAGCATGCATAGAGTCATGAAGACTATAAACTTCTGAATGTACCAGACTGATATGAAATGTGACTATGGCATTACTTAGCTTCATTATTCTAGCTCAGTTCATAACCTCACTTGAACCTCAGTTTATTTTTAAAAATGGCATGATGATCCCTTTCACATCTGTACTGAACATTTTAAACAAGACAAAGTATTTTATTTGTTTTGGCTAAATTTATTTTTAAAATGAAATGTATATTTGTTTTCATTAGGACTTTTATATTGCTGATGAGTTTGAATATTTTTCTTCTATGTTTACTGAGATTGGAATGTATTTTTTAGTTAATCATCTTTTCTTATTTTTGGAGGGTTTATCTTCTAGTAAGTTTATTTTTTCCTCTTGAATTATGAGAACTCTTTATATATTAAGGCACAAATCCATTATCATTTTTCACTTATTGCAGGTCTTCTATTATAACGTTTTAAAAATGAATGACATGGCTTTACATTTTTATAGTGGGAAATAAATTTTTTCCTTTGTTTCTAATATAAATGTCAGTACTTTTATAAATGTTACTCCCTAATATTTTACTCAGAGAGAGCAGAATAATTACTTCTTAAAATTAATTCTACTTTTTGTAGCTTTATTTTTATATTTTACACAAACTACTTGAAATTTATTTATTTATTTATTTTTATTTGACAGGTAGAGTTCCAGACAGTGAGAGAGAGAGAGAGACAGAGAGAAAGGTCTTCTTTCCGTTGGTTCATCCCCCAAATGGCCACTACTGCTGGAGCTGTGCTGATCCTAAGCCAGGAACCAGGTGCTTCCTCCTGGTCTCCCATGTGGGTGCAGGGGCCCAAGGACTTGGGCCATCCTCCACTGCCCTCCTGGGCCACAGTAGAGAGCTGGACTGGAAGAGGAGCAGCCGGGACTAGAACTGGTGCCAATATGGGATGCAGGTGCTGCAGGTGGAGGATTAACCAAGTGAGCCATGGCGCCGGCCCCTGAAATTTATTTTTGAATTTAGGAAAACATAGGATGTCACTTTTATTTTTCTACAGAATATTCCAGGTTTTCCAAATCCTTGTATTAAATAAGTGCCACTGATTTATGCCACTTTCTGACCTCTTTCTCAACTATACATTTGGATCTACCTATCTGTAAGTATTTCCCCCTTATATTGTGCTCTATTAAGCAACACAAATATTGGTTATTTATCACTAGTTCAGTAATAATAACAGTTAAAATAAATGATAAACATAGTGATGAAAAATATCATCATTTTGGTCAGCTCAATGACTCATTTGCCTTGGGCAATTTACTTACTCCATATGGGATAAGTAAAATGGAAGAAATCTGTAAAATCAGAATATTATCTAGCAAACATATGGTTGACTTCTCAAAAGTCATTCTACCCCAATGTCTTGATGACTAACTGTAGTCTTATTATACTTAAAAGAAGTTTGCATAGAAAATGTCCTAAGACAATTTTTGCCAATAAAACTTGAATAAAGTCTTGCTTGGGACTTAGGAGAAGGAAGCTTCCTGTCTCTTACAAGATAGGCAGGAGTAGTTTCCTTCTTTCTGCTGTTTCTCTCCCCACCCTGCCACCCACACACATACACACACACACGTACACCCACACACATACACACACACACACACACACACACACAAAACCACACTGATCTTAAATATAAACAATTAATCCTGTTGCCCTGGCTACTATTGGTAACCACCTTGAGATAATGAGGCTAGCCATCCTGAAGACTAAAGCTGACCAAAGAGAAGAGAAAGCTGAGAAAATATGTTGATAATAATGATGTTGAGCCCTAATATTGCTTTGCCGGAAATCCATACTGCCAATGGTTGGTTTTTGTTACTTGCAACTGAAAGCATCCTGACTGATATATATTACTTCTTCCAAGTTGCATGTGATAAACAAGTAAGAGCATGACTCTATAGTGCTTCAGGATATGGCCATGAATGTAACAATATGTGGTTGCTATCAATAAGATATCTTTAGGTACAGAAGTGTTGCTGTGATTATGCATGAGTTGATCACACATCTCTATTAGTAAGAATAGTTGATTACACACACACATATATATATATTATATACTACATATATTATATATTACACATCTCTGTTAGTAAAGAGCAGTTGTAATATGTTTATTTACTAGAAACATTACAATATATGTATATAGAGTATATATTAGATGTAATATGTGTAGCATTGCAAATTATAACTATTATACATTCAGGAAAATATAAAAAAGGTGAGAAGAGAGAAAGATGAAATAGCTAATTTTAAAATACTCATAATTTTATTTTTTCCCTTGTTACATAGAATGATTTTCCCCCAACTAACATCATGATCTTCTTCATTCAATTCTTTATTTTATAAAAATAAATGCTGGGTAATACCCAGTGCCAAATATTTTTCATCTCAGAAAAGCTTGACAAATTTAGGACAATTGTTTCTTTTTTAAAGTCACAGCTAATCTTTTTTTATTTTTAAAAGATTTATTTATTTATTTGAATGTCAGAGTTATACAGAGAGAGAAGGAGAGGCAGAGAGAGAGTGTCCTTTTGAGTTTTTGCTTTATTTTTAAGATGTTTCTGTCTCTTCTTTTTCCCCTATTCTTTCATTTCTTATTAATAGAGGAAATATTCTTAGCCAGACTTTCCCTTACTAATTTGCTGCTTCAAATCAGCTTTGGCCTTGAAATGAGTTAGAAATATCCATTAAGGACTAGATTGGTTTTGACTGCTGGGTCTCTCTTATGAGCACAGTGTGTAAATTTTATTACCTGGGTGTTATAATTTTTGTTCAATTACTTAATGTTCATTTTCTCCCCTTTGAGGATTGGTGAGGTCAGAGATCCAGGTTTCAGAATGGGTAAACCATCACTGAGGCACTCACTGCTTTTCTTTTTTTTTCTTTTTTTCAAGATTTATTTATTTGTTAGAAAGTCAGAGTTACACAGAGAGAGGAGAGGCAGAGAGAGAAAGGTCTTCCATCTGTTGGTTTACTCCCCAGTTGGCCGCAATGGCTAGAGCTTCACTGATCCAAAGCCAGGAGCCAGGAGCTTCTTCCGGGTCTCCCATCCAGGTGCTGGGGCCCAAGGACTTGGGCCATCTTCTACTGCTTTCCCAGGCCATAGCAGAGAGCTGGATCAGAAATGGAGCAGCAGGGACTTGAACTGTCACCCATAAGGGATACCAGCACTGCAGGTGGTGGCTTTATCTGCTATGCCGCAGCACCAGCCCCACACACTGCTTTTCACTGTTGTTTTTGATTCACATCAGTGATTCCTTCAAATCTCTCACATTTGAAGGATAATTATAATGCATTTCTTCTTTTCCCAGAGTCTCAGATTTTTATCTCAGAATATAGGATTTGGAAAAACAGAATCATCTTAAGAAATAACAGAAAGTAATCTAGCACTGAAACACAAATGGTACACTCTGGACTCTGTAATTCCT